CAGGCCTTCACCACACTATTGTCTGTGTCCATGGCTGTGCATATGTGCATACAAGTTACCTGGCTAATCTCTCTTCAGATGTTTATTGACATGTATTTCCTCTTCTGTAAAATGCCTATTCCTACTTTTGCTCATTTTTCTGTTGAACTGTTTATACTTCTCTTATTGATTTGTAGGAGTTTGGGATATATTTCTTAAATATGTATATATTTTTAGTCCTGACCCGGGGATATGTTTATTGATTTTAGAAAGAGAGGGAGGGAGAGAGAGAGAAACATCGATGTGATGTTTTCTGTCATTATTTCTTCAAATAGGTTTTCAATATCTTGCTCTCTCTCTTCTTCTGGCACCCCTATAATTCAGATGTTGGTACGCTTGAAGTTGTCCCAGAGGCTCCTTACACTATCTTCATATTTTTGGATTCTTTTTCCTTTTTGCTTTTCCGGTTGGGTGTTTTTTGCTTCTTCGTATTTCAAATCTTTGACTTCATTTTTGTGATCCTCTAGTTTGCTGTTGGATCTCTGTATATTATTCTTTATTTCAGTCAGTGTATGCTTAATTTCTAGTTGGTCCTTTTTCATATCCTCGAGGGTCTCACTAAATTTATCGGCGTTTTCTAGAAAATTCTTGAAAAACCTTATAACCGTGCTTTTGAACTCTATATCCAGTAGTTTGTTTTCCTCCATTTCTGTCATTTGTGACCTATTTCTTTGTCTCCACATTTTGGCTGCTTCCCTGTGTTGATAGAGTGGCTTTGTGTGCTAGGTGTCCTATAGGGCCCAGTGGCTCAGCCTCCCCAATTACCTGAGGTGGACACTCTTGGTGCACCCCTTTGTGGGCTGTGTGCACAGTCTTGTTGTAGTTATGCCTTGATTGTTGTAGGTATCACTGGGAGGAATTGACCTCCAGGCCAACTGGCTGTGAGAATCAGCTGTAGTTATGGTGGGAGAACTTCTGTGCTGGAGACACCCTTCTGGGGCAAGACTTGCTTCAGTGGGGCTTTGGTGCTCACTGAGTCTGCCCCCTGAGTGTGTCCCTTATGGATCTGAGGAGTTGTAATCTGGATGGTCCCACTCTGACCACTGGGTACACTGGCTCTTGGATCTAAGGAGGTGCTAATTTAGCCTCTGCCTGAGGCTACCCAGCAGGAGCTATGGAGAGATCTGCAGATTCCTCTTCCTTGCCTGGGGTTTGGAGGTGCTCAGATGAGGCCCAGCTGTGAAGCAATGCAAGCTGCTGTGGGGCCTTGGGCCTTCTTTTGGATGTTCTGGGTCTGTCTGGCCCAGCTGCAGTTTGTTAGGTAATTTTAGATTGCAAAGGGCCAGGGCATTCATGTGCAAAAGCCTCTGCTCACGGCTTGGGTGGGGCGGGGTCTCAGGGAATCAACAGGGTGGAACAAACTGCTATGGCTGATCCTCAGCCATGCCCTAAGAGGCCCCGGGTCTCACTGTTCCACAGTAATCGCTGCAAGCACCTCTGAGAGAAAGCCGCCCTCGAGTTCCGCCCGATGCCAGACAGTCCAGTTTCTCCTGTATGAGTCTGGGTCCCCAGAGACTCGCCCGGAACTGGAGTCAGGGCTGTCGGGAGCTTGTGTCTCCCTCCCGATTGAAAAAGACAACCGCATCCTCAGTTGCCAGCCCTTTCCACGTGCGCCTCCGTACCTCTGCACTTTACTTCCACACTGTACCTCCTCTGAGTCTCAGTATGCTTTTCTCTTTCCTTCTAGTTGTAGAATTTCCACTCAGCCAGCCTTCCTGTGGTTCTGGATGATGTCTGTTTTGTCTTTTAGTTGTATTTTTGAAGTGGTTGTGCGAGGCAGCAATTTCTGGTGTTTACCTATGCCGCCATCTTGGTTTCTCCTTAATGTATTTAGATTTTTCCTAATAAAGTTTACAATTTTCTTACAGTGTATTGTTACAATTGCTCTATTTTATTATTAGTTAACTAGAGGCCCGGTGCATGAAATTCATGCATGGGTAGGGTCCCTAGGCCTGGCTGGTGATCAGGGCTGATCTGTGGGGCAACCGGCGGGGCAATCAGGGGGCCCCTGCTGGCACCCACCTTGGCTGGCCTGGGGCCTGTGGGCTGGGGGCAGCTCCTGCATTGAGCGTCTGCCCCCAGGTGGTCAGTGCACGTCATAGCAACTGGTCGTTCCACCAGTCGTTCCATAGTTCGGTCGATTTGCATATTAGGCTTTTATTATATGGGATGTTGTCAACTGCTTAGTGTGCCTAATTTATAAATTAAACTTTATCATAGGGCGTATAGGAGGCTGTGTTTCAGGCATCCACTGGAGGTCTTGGAGTGTGTCCCCCACAGATAAGGGGGGACGATTGTACTTAACACTTCCACTGAGACTGTGCCCAGTGCCAGACACAGAACTTGCACAAAGTAGAGCATAAACAGTGAGAGGATTTGCTGGAGGAAAAGGTCTTTGCATCCCAAGTACAACAGGCTCTTCTTGAGTGTCAGACGGGATGGGAAGCACAGGCTGTAGAAGGTGGAAGCTAAACAGAGTCTGTACCTGAGACACTTGACACAGGTGCACAGGGAGGTGGTGTAAGAGTGAATGCATCGCGGTGACTTCACCAGAGGGCATCTCATTTTCGTTTTAGCTATCTTTCTAGAACATTGACAAGACAGAGTTACTTGCACATAAGAATGAGCTATTTTTGTGTTGTTTTGTCCTTTTCCAGGGGCAGTTCTGCGACTACTGCAACTCCCAGGACCCTAGGAAAGCCCATCCAGTCACCAACGCCATCGACGGGTCGGAGCGCTGGTGGCAAAGCCCCCCCCTCTCCTCAGGCACGCGGTACAACCAGGTCAACGTCACCTTGGATCTGGGGCAGGTGAGACACACGAGCTGGGATGGGACTTTGAGTTAGAAAGACAATGCAGCTTATGGGGCAGTTTTGTTCCTTTTGGGGAAAGGAAGCGCTCGATGCAGAGGACAAAAGGCGCACTGGGTTCTGGCGGGATTGGAGCTTCCAGATGCCCTCTGCCCCCCGCCCTCCCCAAAAGCTCTGACCCTTGTTCTGGAATGAGGGCAGCCTGCTAGAGATCTTTAAAGGCAGAAGAATCATAAAAATGCACAGTAAATGGAAGTTTATTTTTTTAAAGAGCATATTTTATTCCTTAGCTCATCTTGAAAACTATTTTATGTTTCCTCCCTTATGAAACTTTTGTGATTTTAGGCAGATTTTGGCTTTAAGTCGTGGCAGTTCTCCTACCAGTGGTCGGCAAACTGCGGCTTGGCAAACCATGCCTCGTGAGCCACATGCGGCTCTTTGGCCCCTTGAGTGTGGCTCTTCCACAAAATACCGACGTCTGCGCATGGGCCACGAAGTTTCAATCGCACTGTACGTGCACGCCCGCACGTGGTATTTTGTGGAGAGCGGGGAGTCCTCACCCGCACCCCTCCTCTGTCTGCTGTATTCCAGTGCAACCCCCTTCGGATGGGATCTCGAGGGTGGGAAACTGAGGACGCTTCCATCTGTCGCTTGCAATGTAGAGGGGTTCACCCCGAGTCCCCGTCGCG